CACACAGAGCATACACATATATAACTGAAACATAAGTTTCATGAAACAGTGTATGTGCCATATGCCCTGATACTTTCTAGTCTATGTTAAAACAAAATGTCTGGTTGCTTAGGATCCACTGCTGAGTCCTGATTTTGAGAAACGCTACTGGCTGGGAAGTCAGTAGTCCTCTATTCAAATGAGAGTTCCTCCACCTACAGCTGTGTGCCTGGGCTCAACTAATGAACTTTTCTAAACCTTAAGGTCCTCAGCTGTCACACAGGGACAAGCTACTTCATAGGACTTTTGTGGGATGAGATAGTAAGGGTTCATGATCACTTTTATTAGGCAGATTCTGGGTTCAAGGAAGCCCCTAAGGTTTCCAAACTGTTCAGCCCATTCATTCCATTCATTTCTATAGTGAAGCTCTCCTGGCTAAAAGCCTCCATTGTTTCCCATCACCTGTGCATGCTGTGGTCTACAGTTTGACCCTCTGAATGTGGCCCCTAAGGCCAGTGCAGCCTGGACCACACCTCAGCTTTGACCCCTGCCCTCACATCTCTGAATAGCCTAGTCCCCAAACTTGAGTCCCCTGATTCCGAACAACGTCCTCTGTTGTGTCTTTGTCTTGAATCATACAGTCTTCTCCTTCTGAAATGCCTCTCCTTTTATTTTTACCTAAACAACACCTACACAGGTCTCAGGATCAAGCTTGAGGGTCACCTTCTGTGTATACAGCCTTTCCCGGTATATTGCTTTTCCCTCCCTTTCCCCCAAATCCTGTCCTAATATTAAATGAAGAAAAAAGAGATAACTACAGGTAAGTATTTAACATCTTTGGGAAGCAGAGATTATGCAACTTCAAAATAATTTTTTTTTTTGGCCACGCCACCCAGCTTGCAGGATCTTAGTTCCCAGATCAGGGATCGAATCGTTTCCTCAGCAGTGAAAGCGCAGAGTCCTAACCACTGCACAGCCAGGGAATTCCCCCAAAATAATATTAATAGGGACTTCCCCAGTGGCTCAGTGGTTAAGAATCTGCCTGCCAATGCCTGCCTGGTCCGGGAAGATCCCACATGCCGCAGAGCAACTAAACCCATGAGCCACAACTACTGAGCCTGTGTTCTAGAGCCCGCGAGTCACAACTACTAAGCCCGTGTGCCAAGCCCGTGTGCCACAACTACGGAAGCCCGCGTGCCTAGAGCCCGTGCTCCGCAATAAGAGAAGCCACAGCAATGAGAAGCCCGCGCACCGCAACGAAGTGTAGCGCCCACTTGCCGCAGCCAGAGAAAGCCCGCGGGCAGCAAGGAAGACCCAACGCAGCCAAAAATAAATAAATTTATTAAAAAAAAATCTTAATATAATTAAATAACCCTTATTTAATATGAGAATTTCACAACACTTCTGACATGGGTTGGGGCTCAGTTACAGCCTTGCAATTTGACTCTTTTTCTTTTATTCAGACACACACTGAATCTCAGATGCTTGTGTGCCTCTCTGTTTTATTTTGTTTTTTAATTCTAGGGGATGTAGTGCTGAGACTAAGCCATGGATCAATAGGGGTGTGATGGGGGAACCGTGAATAAATTTAATCCTTTTGCAAACAAACAATTTAAATATATGAATCGCAGCTGTTGTAGGGCTGTTTGTCTTATGACATTCCTGGTGGACCTGCTCCGGATGCATTTTCAGGGAAAGAAGGCAGGACAATTTGTTAGGACTCCAGTGGAACAGCACAACTTTCTGGCAGCTGCTCTGCTGTGCCAGGCCCTACGTAGCAGTTGTGAAACTGCCTTGAGGAGATGGACGTAGGCCCCTCTCTCTATGTTTTAGATCAGGATTTTTCTTGCTTAAAGCCAAAGAGAAAGGGGAAAGGGTGAAAGAGTGGCCAAGAGGGTTGGCATGGGAATTGGAACACTTCTGTCCTGATTTCTCCAACTGAAAAATAGAGGGGAAATGTTGTGAGTTCCTGACTGACCTTGGGGGAGGTGAGCACTCTTACTTTGGAAATTCTACCGTGTTTCCATCCTAGAACCAGGAGGAAAGCTCCAGATTTCTAGTGGCCATGCTCTCTAGGTTGAAATTCAAATATTCCTAAATGTTCCCTGCATATCTGAGCATCCTAGACAAGAGGGATGAAAGTGTTTCTGCTCAGATTGAAAGGCAAAGCTAAGCTTGGGATATAGGTCATTGGTTAGCCTCACATCTGGGAATTCCCTGGTGGTCCAGTGGTTAGGTCTCTGAACTTCCACTGCAGGGGGCACCAGTTCAATCCCTGGTTGGGGAACTAACATCCTGCAAGCCATGCAGCGCGGTCAAAAAAAGAAAAAAAGAAAAAGAAAAAGAAGCACTGCGTCTGTTCCAACCCTTCCTGTATTTTATTTTCTTCCTCGGTCCCCCTTACTCTCACTCCCAACCCCCTGGCAATTAACCAGCTCTGGCAACGGCACCCACTGCTTGGTATCCCAACTCCCCATGACTGTAGTTTAAGCCCTTATCGTATAGCTGGAAACTGTTCAACTGACTTTGTTTCTACTGGAGTCCCGCTTAGATCAGCCTCACAGAGCCAGAATGCATACTCTAAAATGCAAAGATGCCCTTTTCACTCTTTTTTTTTTTTTTTTTTCCTTTTCACTCTTAAAAGCCTTCAAGAACGCCATGACCTTGTAGGGAAAATTCTCAGCTCCCTGGTATGAGAGGCAAGACCTTTCAGTTTCTGGTCCTGCAACCCCACAGGCTCACACTTGCACTCCTTGAGAAGCACACCTTGACCTCTCCCCCACTTCAAAGGCTCTCAGCCAGCGGCTCCTCCTTTGTTTTCCTCTAGAACACTCTGCTTATCTCTATCATGATATGTATCTCTTCAAGTAGCTCCTTTATGAGAGAGGGTATGTGTGTTTAGTGGGAATCCAATATTTATTATATTTAACCAAACTGATTTTTGATATTTCAGAACTTCCAATAGTGCTCAGCTTTTTCCAGCAACAGAGTCTCTGCATAATTAATTCTGTCTGGAATAATTTTCTCCCCATATTCTCATTTCCTATATAGCAGCACATTTTCTAATTTCAAATTATTTATGAAGGTGACATAGCTAGTGGTTAATAGCCCAGGTACCGATGTCAGCGTGCCCAATTTCAAAAATGGGTGACTTTAAGCAATTTTCTCACTTTGTATGTGTATATGCACGTGCCTTAGTTCCTTATTTGTGAAATGGCACCAATAATCCTGGTTATGAGGATTAAGTTAAGTGAGATAATATGTGCTAAACAGATCTGTGCCTGGCATGTAGCTAATATTTATTGCTCTGTCTTTAAAAAAAATTTCTTGGGGGAGATTGGGCTTGACATATATACACTAATATGTATAAAATAGATAACCAGTAAGAACCTGCTCTATAAAAAAATAAAATAAAATTCAAAAAAAATTTTTTTAAATTATTGAATGACATTTCGCTTTAAGCTCCAAGGCAGGGATGCTGCTATCTTCTTCACTATTGTACCCCAGTGCCTACCATAGCATACAGTAAGTGCAAAATAAATTCATGCCATGTGAATGACTGAATAAATGGCAATCCTTACTTCAGAGCATTCACTGAAGATAAGTAGGGAACTGTGCCTGCTTATCAGAGTGATAACAGAAGCCGTATCAGTGGCCTTCTTTAGTCAACCCTTATGTTCACCTGGCTACATAACCAAGCAACTCTTTTTTTCTTTAGTTTAAATGAAACCCCTTGGGTGAAAGTTAGATGAGTGGCGTCATTCTTGGATTTTTATTAGAGGAACATGGACTCTTATTTACTTCCTTCAGAACTGAGAGTATCATGTCTAGGGTTGATTATGAAATTGTTGGAATAAACATGCACAGGTTAAGGTGACCTTGCTCTCGAGAGAACAGAGTGAGTCTTGGGATGATGTACTGTGAGAACAAAATGACAAGCAGTATCAAAGTAACAAGGTGATGTAGGCAGCTCTGTAAGCAAGTTAAACTCCAACCGCGATCCTGGATTTTATTTTCAGTGAAAACCTTTGCTTCTCCCTGCATAAACCATCTAATGAAATTAGTAGTATAGACAGAGGAGAGGAAAGGACAACTTTGCACTTTTTGTAGGGACAGAAGTAAAGTTCTGAAAATGAAGCGAAGTCTAAAGTCAGCTTCCTAGGTTATAGTTTTTTGTTTGTCTGTTTGTTTTTTTAAAATCACAAGACTTTCAACAAAAAGATTTTTAAAAATAAGTCAATGGGTAAAGGGAGTAAGAATAGCTACGCTAGAAAACCTAGGTTGAGGCAAGGTACAGTGGCTGAGTGCAGCCAAGGCAGAAAGGATGGTAACAACAGGATACCTACTTCTCATTCTCTAATGAAGACCAGACCAGGGGGTCACCAGGAGCAGAGAGTGACAAGTTCTGTTCACACCACCAGAAGCTTGTAGAAACCAATGGACCATCCTGGTGGTCCTACAGAACCTGAGCACTGCAGACCCAGGGCCAGCTCCTTTGTTTTCCAACTCTAGAACAAGTATCAGTTCTTTTGCTAACCAGTTATACATGTGTTAAACATTTCCATTTATGTCCTGTACTTGTTCCTCTGTATCCTATATTGTTTATCATATTACACAATCTTAGAGTTCAGAAGGCATGAGTGCGCAAAGCTTAAGCATCGGTAGGTGGGGACGGTTTCAGAGGAGAAAGAGGAGCAAGATTCCCAGTGCAGGTGTGGCTCTGGCCCATCAACCAGGCAATCAAGCTACTTCATCCTAGCCCCCTTCATAGGAAAGACCCTACTAGGGCAGATTCCCTCCTTCGGCAAATGATAGATGGCTTTCTCGTAGCTCTTGCTTGCCCAGGAAACATAGAATCTCTTATCCTCACAACCCAGTACCCTTTCTTGTTTATAGTTTTGCATCTGGAAGACTCTAGCCTTTTTCTAGCTAGAAAAGCAGTTCTAGCCCTTTCTGACACAAGGAGAAAGGCCAGGGAGGATGGGGGAGAGGAGGTGGGGCTCTAGCCGGCGCACACTCACCACTTTTTGGTTCCCTTCATGATCGGTGAGCAGCCATTCGATATCCAGGGTGTCTTTTTCTGGGAGCCCCAGTTGATGGTGACAGGGCAAAGTGACCTTTTCCTCTGCCACTCTCTTGATCTCAGTGTGAGTCCCCAAGGTTCCAACATAGTAGGAAACTGGAAGAGGAAAACCTCTGATGAATCACGCAGAAACTGGATGGCAACGTGCAGGAAGCAAATATTACAACTAATAGTTATTGGATGTTTCTGTGGGCAAGGGGCGAGTCAAAGTGTTGGAAGAATCCTGGACCAGAAGTAATGGAAGTCCCGGGTCTCACACTGGCTCCTCCATATTAATTGAATTCATCATATCTTCCTTAACCCCCCAAATTACAGTCCAACTAATGCCCACCTTTCCTACCTTACTGGGTTTTTAGGAACAATGAAATAACTCAGGTCAACAACAGCTTTGTCTTCTGACCTTTCTCTCCTCTACTAGCAAAGGCCTCCAAAAGAACAGAACTTAAAAGGGAAGGCAGGGTTGGCCTCCTCCCAGAACAGGCTCCAGATACTGGTTCACTCCTGAGAATCTTCTTAAAGTCAGGCTGCCCCCACAGAACTCTGAGTAAGTGCAGCATTGCCTCTGGGAACAAGTGGGCTCTTACAGGCAGTCCCTGCTTCCTTTATGGACACCTTGCCACCCCCGCCAACTTCTCTCTTTCATTCTCTGTAGTTTCTTTCTTTTTTTAAAATTGAGTTATAATTGATATAATATTCTATATAAGTTACAGGTGTTATAAGTTATATAAGTTACAGGTGTTCAATATAGTGATTCACAATTTTTAAATGTTATACTTCATTTATAGTTATTATAAAATATTGGCTATATTGCCCACGTTGTACAGTATATCCTTGTAGTTTATTTTATACATGATGGTTTATACCTCTTAGTCCCCTACCCTTTTATTTTCTCTGTAGTTTCGTATCATATGGCTTCAAAATATCAAGCAGCACTTTCTATCCAAAGCAGAATTCCGAGTTACCACATTTGGATCCTGTCCCTTCATCCATCCAATATTCCTTTGGCCAATAGGAATTCAGTTCCGCTTTTGCTTTCTTTAACTGTCATCTTTTTCCAGGAATGGTATGGTGTCAGCAACTTTACATCCCAAGTTCACCTTCTCTCCTTCCTATTCATCTCTTAGTACCTGAGTTTTTCTTTTTCTTTTTTTTTTTTACTTTTTGGTTGCACCACATGGCATGTGGGATCTTAGTTCCCCAACCAGGGATTGAACCTGTGCCCCCCTGCAGTGGAAGCTCGGGGTCTTAACCGCTGGACCTCCAGGGAAGTCTCTCTTAGTACATGACTATTAAATCTACAGTATTGATGACCGATAAATTGATATGATGAAACCTCACCTGATTCTAGGTATGTGTCTGGCATTGAAGGTGTGCTTTAGCTCTGATCCTCCTTTATCTCCTTACACAGTGATAAAGAAGCTCAGTGTCAAAAATGATCTCTTTCAAGCCATTCACAATGGAACAGAATCACACAACCTCTAAGATGGAACAGCCCCAAGTGCCAGGGCTTGTGTGAAGCCCTCTCGCTGGCAGAGAACTCACTCTGTCACTTTAGAAGGGTGTTAAGCACTAAAGACCAAGAGTCATGACCAACAGAAGCATATAAACTACCTCTCATTCCCCGTTCATTTCCCCAAATTGATTAGCAGCAAATCTGTAGGAAGGAGAAGGGCCTGTCTTCTTGCCTGCAGGGAAGTGAAACAAGGAAGAAGGGAGCAGAGGAGACTGTGGTTCTCGCTCGGGGGGCTGACGGGCTGAAATGCAGGGGCCCTCGGAGGTAGACCCCAAGAGAAGCAGCAGGTGGATTCCCAAGCTCCATGGCCAAGAAGGGAGACTACAGAAATCTGCTGAGCATAAGAAGGGGCCTCAGAACCAAAAGACAAGCCCCTTGTGGGGTCTAACTGACATTCTCAAGAAGCTTTCTGTTATTTGTTTAGAACTTGACACTGCAGTGGGCGTGGCCACCATGTAGTGAGCACTTCCAATGGTGTGGCTCTACACTGAGCAGCCACTCTATAAAGAAAGGGTTATTATCCAAAATCACTGAGGAAATGTAAAGAGGGGGTTAGCAACTTGCCCAATATCATACAGCTAGTGCAGTGTGGCAGTGCTGGGCTCCACCCAGATGTCTCACTGCGAAGCTCACACTGACAACCATGCTATGCTGCACGGGCCCTTTGTTTTTTGTTTTTGTTTTTTTTTTACAGCTTGTTGGTATTTTAATCATCAACATCTGAGTGCTTTATTGGGTCTCTACACAGGTGACCATTTGTGTTTAATCTCTACACAAATGACCATTTCTCCAGTGCTTTTTCTGGAGAGACGACAGAGACAGCAAGGTCTCAGTTACCTGGCAGACACAGGGCAGTACTTGATGAACTGGGGGAAGAACTCTCCAGGGCTTCTTCATCCTCCTCTGTCTGATTTTCACTCTTTTTTTTTATTCTGCTGGTGGTAGAAGACTAGTATCATTGACTTCTTCCCTTTCTTACATTTTTCCACACTCTGCCAAAGGGTTGATCTTACCTTCACGACTATCTTCCGTACCTTCTCACTTTCACAGTCTTGGAGCTGATCTCTGAATCCGAGTTAGGCTCCTGTGGTTTCTCAGTTACCTCTGCCATGTTGTAGCAACAGTGTGATCTCGTGCCCTTTGTTTTATGTGGCTTCCTGGATGTCTGGTTCTCCCGTTAGCCTCTAAGCTCCTTGAGATCAAGTTCTGTTCACCACTGCATGCCCAGAGCACTCAGCCTGGGTCTCACACACTGCAGGTGCTCAATAAATACGTGTTGGATGGATTTGAATCTAACCCACACAATGATTTTACCAATGAGCAACCTGAGGTCTGGGAATAAAGGAGTCGGCCCAAGGTCCTACTGTTAGGGGAACCACTGACCAAAAGTGCCCTTCCTGGTCAGGCACGACAGTAACCACTTGCATGAGTTATCTTACAACAGGAGGTCCTGGTAAGGAACTCGGAACTGACAAGCTACCACCAGTCGGAAGAATTCAGGAAAGGTCAAAAGGAGAGAGGAGATGCCAGTCCGTATGTCCTACCAACCTCCCAGAATCCTTCTCGCTGGAATCCATCTTGGCTGAGCGATGCACGTGTCACCAGGAAGGACCCTGAGTCAGAATGATTGGCCAGAGACAACCCGGAAACTAAAACCTGAGACTGTGAGCCACGTGGCAGAGCCGTTCTCTGGGTTCCCTTACCCTGCTGCTCCCCCCCACCCGGGGACCCCTTCCCCATAAAGTCTCTTGCTTTGTCAGCACGTGTGTCTCCTCAGACAATTCATTTCCTAGTGTTAGACAACAGCCCACTGTCGGGACCTGGAAGGGGTCCCCCTTCCTGCAACACTACAACTCATTTAGTGGCAGAAATAACCCATATAAAACCCATGCTCCCTCAGTCCCCATAAAGCAGAGGCGGTTTGCACTGTACTAAGCTAAGCCTGTAAGAAGGAGCTCCGGCTTCCATCCCTGATCATTCCACTGGACACGGCAACGTTCAAATGAAGCACTCCTGGCAAAGCTAGAGAACCCAGTACCAATTTGGTGCATACAGCAGGCACTCTATACATTGAATAAGTTGCGAAGAATCAGCTATGTAAGTTGCCGATTTTAGCCACTAGAGGGAATCAAAGGCTCAGATTTGGTTGCTGTCCCACAAGGAAAGGAACGTAGTGGTGGGCGGTGTGCTTTGCCAGAGCCCCAAGTTCTATTTATACCACACCCAGAATTAAACACAGCAGTGCAGGGACTGGCCACTCAGTGAATACAAACGGCTTTACCAAGGCAGGGGGCCTCAAGATCAGAGTGCACGCACCTTTAGTCTTCCCTGAACCTCAGTTCCCCAGGACCCCTGAAGATTTCTCAGGTCCTTCTGTGCTTTTTAACCCACACTCATGTTCTACAGTCTACACGGACAGGGGCCTGGGCTCTGATTACCACCCCCAGGCTCGGCAGTGCTCATGGGGGATGCCGAGTACGTCTGCCGCCTGGCCGGTGAGCAGGAAGGAGCAATCCCAACACCCCGGGGCCAGCCTTGGGTTCCCTGGACACTGAACGGTTTGTCTTCATTGAGAAAGACCTTAGGGATCATCAAAATTTAACTGCAGCTTGGAGAACTGAAGCGTCAAGTCACAAAGCTGGTTGGTGGCATAACTGCAAGTAAGGGAATTATCTCTATCGTGTGACTGGGACTTGTGGCGTTTGACAGTGGGGACAGGTGCTGGAAGGCGGCAGTGGTAAGGACCCCCTCCATGTGCAAATGCAGTCATGGATGCTGCGGCCGCTCCCTAAGCTGAAGCCTTTGCCTACAGCTCCAGCACTTAACAAAGGAGCCCTGTGAGCTTGGGAGAATTACCCTCTCTGAGCCTTAGTGTTGTCATCTGCAAAATGGGAATTAAGCTAGACGCTGAGGTAAAGCACCTGGTGATGGCACATAGGGGTCTCCCCCTAAAATGTTCTTCTCTAGTACAGAAAGGAGCTTCTCCTCAGATGATTGCTGCCTACACTCGTTAAGATTAGTTTAAGGTTTTATTCTCTAAAGGGCATTTACATTTATGAAAGATTCTCTTGAACCTTCAAGACCTCCTTCAAAGAGAAGGGGCAGGGGTAACTTTATTTTTTCAACATGAATACTTGTATATAACTGAGGGAAAATAAGCCACATATTTTGAAGATGAATCCACTGAGGAGATGAGTCCGTTTTTATTAATTAATTAACTTTTGCTGTGTTGGGTCTTCGTTTCTGTGCGAGGGCTTTCTCTAGTTGTGGCAAGTGGGGGCTAGTCTTCATCGCGGTGCGCGGGCCTCTTACTATCGCGGCCTCTCTTGTTGGGGAGCGCAGGCTCAGTACTTGTGGCTCACGGGCCCAGTTGCTCCGCGGCATGTGGGATACTCCCAGACCAGGGCTCGAACCCGTGTCCCCTGCATTAGCAGGCAGACTCTCAACCACTGCGCCACCAGGGAAGCCCGATGAGTCAGTTTTTAAAAGGTGATTTCTATAACCAATTGACTATTCACATTAAAATACTCACAGTTGACTATTCTACTCACATAAAACATTCACTCTCAAATCGCCTTTCTAA